AGAAACTGAAATGCAGAGGTTAAGAGAGCAACATTACAAAAAAGGAAATGAACCACTACTTTAACCCTATACACAAAAAACAAGGTTATTTGAGTTGTAACGATAGTAGAACCCTTTTCAGTGCAATACAGAACAACTTCGTGTTTAAAGAAGAATATACAACAGATTTTCCATAAGAACAGTTTAACCACACATTGTTCAAATGGTTCTTTGAGTTGGCATGATTCTATATAACCCTTCCCTGTACTAAAGAATCCTTAAAGAACCAAAGAGTGTATCAAACATCTCATCAGTGATACAATGACAGAATCTGTCTTTGTTCCTTTTAACTGGTTACAACACATGCATGTTCACACAACATTATTATTAACGGAGAAAAGCAGATTTAATAGCAGAAAAAGCATTTCTTTTTTGCTTTGGCCTCAAGAGGTTAATCTCACTAGCATGTTCATGTTGCTGCTGTCGGAACAAAACCTCTTATCTCCATTTTTGTCGTTTTTCAGTTTTTGACATAATTTGAAAATGTCTGTTGCTCTTTACATTGTGTGTAAATTTCATGATGAATGGACCAAAAGAAATGATCCAAAATTAATTTGAAAAAAATTCTGGTTCCATTGACTTACATTATAAGCAAAGCAGGCTTTTTGCTTCTCCTGTAAAGTTCCAATTTTGGAGATATGAGGTTTTGTTCTGACAACAGCAATATATAACATACTTACACTGTACGCTCAAAGAATATATATTTCTTGATCAAGCTAATTCCCGTAGAAGAACAGGGGAGTCCAGCCATAAGCTGTCACATGTTTAATGGTAACAAGTTGCAGTTGTGGCCAGGCAAACAATGTAATTTGATATTATTTCTCACCCATAGCTCACTGAAACAAGCAGGAAGACTCGAACCTGTTGGTACAAAATATAAACCAAATGTAAAGGTAACTCATTATGTAATAACTATGTAGTTACTCATTTAATTGCATAATGACACTTAAATAGTTCAGTAAAACAACATCAATAACTCTCAACCTCTGTGGGTTAATGTCTCAAAGTGCTTTGGCTTTCAGACTTTCAGAAAGCTCAATTAGTTGTGTATGTGTGTGTGAGTGTGTGTGTGCATATGTTTAGTTAGAATAAGGCTATTTCCCTGTACAAGGTTAATGAGCACTCAGTCCCCTCCCTGTGTCTATATGCTGGTGGACATCTGGCCTTGCTATGAATATTCATGTGTCCAACACATTTATCAGAAGACATTGATGGCCAATGCTAAATTTAACACAGCCGAGAAAAACATAGCTGGAGAGAGAAAAAAGGAAAAAGGGGATAGACTGATGAGGAGAGAAAAAAAGAAAGCATGACTTGAGAAAAAAATGTGTTTGTGTGTGTGTGTGTGTATGAAAAATCGCCTCACTCTGAACACCTGCCTCATTTTGCCTCTAAGAAAGCTCTTACTAAAAATGAAAGAAGGAAATGACCTGAGGTAACCCTGGAGCTGTGTCTAAAATTCAGCAGCCAGACACCTCCTGGCAACAGAGTGTGGGTCTCTGAGAGAGCGAGAGAGGAAGAGAGAGAAAGAGAGAGAGAGAGTAAGAGAGAGAGAGAGAGAGAGAGAGAGAGAGAGAGAGAGAGAGAGAGTAAGAGAGAGAGAGATTACATGCGTGGGTGATGAGATTTGTGTGGCTGTCTGTGTATGAGAAAGAGAAGCGAGTGATATAAAGATGAAGAGACAGTACATCACTACTCATGTATAACACACTGCCATCACAGTTAAAGGTCTTTTTAAATATATACACACACACACAAACAGACACACACACAAACTTACACTTAGAGTTCATTGACAGGCTATTTTTACAGTAGCTCTATTATAACCACAGACAGAGCTAATCCATAACAGCTTATCTGAAAACCCAAGTTATCTATGTTAATTAGAGAGAGCGAGAGAGAGAGAGAGAGAGAGAGAGAGAAAGAGACAGGAAGACAGAGAGAGAGACATAGAGAGAGAGAGACAGAATGAAAAAAGAAAGACAATGAAAATGAAGAGAAAGAGAGCAGTGAAGAAAGTGAGGGCAAGAGGGAAAGAGAATAAGAGAGAGAGAAGGAGAAAGAATGCGGGAAAGCATGATGCAAAGCAGTCCCCTCAACCTATTCTTCCATTATTAATGACTAATAATCTTCATCTATTCTCACTCATCATCTACTGTCCTATGTCTATTCCCATTTCTCCTTTCATTTGTATTTCCTTTGATGTATATTCCTACTTATATGTTTTCCTGCTCAAAACATGAGCTTGTGACACAAACAATATTTGCAGCTTTGTTAGTTCATGTTCTTTATATATCCACTAAATGCACAACAGCACTGCTAGATCATTGTATTAATGTATAAGAGTAGATTAAAAGGCAGAAATAGCTACTTGGTAATGAAGGGTTAGTTAGTGCATGCATTGACTAGGTCACTGAAATCAGGACTGCAGCAGCGAACACTGTTCCAGAAAAACTTAGAAACAGCCTTAAAGTCACTGCGGTTCACTGTGCTTCTTAGGTCACACTCCCCACTCGCTCTCTGAGACTAGTTAAAAAATCAGTGCTGACACATTTGGGATAGACAAAGAAAGCGGGATTTCATATCCAGAGCACTTTGGGACTCCAAATTCAGATCGTTCCCTCCTTATTTTTGTCCTTGGACAGACACTTTTGGCCACCTCCTCCGAAATACAAAAAGTTCTGTACTGTGATAGATGGAAAACAACTTTACTGCTGGTGCTGGAGAAATGCAGGTAGGTCAATGTAACACTTTCCCAAGTGTGCAGCCAAAACATGCAATCTTGTACACGTCCCTCACATCTAAAGTACTGATGTAGAACTAGTTACACCACAGTAAACTGGACAGGAGTGGCTGCCTTCTATGACACTATGCTGTGCTGTGCATTATAAATCGAAGAGAAACTTTGGGATCAATAACTAGAAATCAAATGAAACCAAAGAGAGATGCTTACGGGCTGTCAGGTTTGAAGAAAATCTGTTAAAATGTATCTTCTTGATGAATCTACAGTGATAAGTTGGCAGTTTGCATCATGATAAAGCATAATAAATTGTGCTACTGACAATTACAACATTTTTCTCTGTCTTTAAGGCTTCTGTTGACCTAAAGTCAAATGTCTCTCTGCAGTTTGAGATGCTTGAGCTTTAGCCTTCTCCTCCAGTTTTTAACTGGTAAGCAAACCTTAACTGCTCTCCAACAGAAGAAGCAGACAGCATTTATCTCTACACATTTTTGTTCTTGCAATGGATAATGTGTAAATATCATAACTGACTGTCACATCAACATGCTTTGCCATGGGAAGCAGCCTAGCTATTGACTACATTTAAACATGACATTATTTTGATAGAACTTGCCATATATTGTTGTTTTTTTAACATGATCTGAGCGTACCAGCTGTCATTTACACTGTCTCAACTTTTTATGATAAACAGACCAACAGAAAGGGTCCAAAAAGACTCACAATAAAATCTTGCTTCATTAACTTACATCAAAAGCTAATCATATTTTTTGCTTCTGTAAAGTTTCCTTTTTGGAGATACAAGGTTTTGTCCCACAGCGACAGTGATTATATCAGTTATCGGTTTCAGTTAACCCCTTAAGACAGGCCAGTTTGCTAGTCTCTGTAAGTACTGAATAATAAGGCTTAGTATGTAATAAGCCTGGGGTTTTAAGGGGTTAAGTCCATTTTTACTCTGTTCATCGTCCAAAGTAATCAGTAGATTCTGTATATAATATAATCAACAGCGACAGCCCTAGTATGTATATAGATGTGCATGTACTAAGTAATTTCAAAGACATTCACTTCATTAGTAAGATATCACCAAGTACCACACTATAAAGAACAGACCACTGTAGACACACACATGCAGATTCTGGTGTAAACAACTTAAGAAATATGACAACAGAGCCACTGAAGACATTTTAGCTTGAAGAACGATAACAATAGCAGTTCAGCTGTCTCCAACAGCCTCAAACCACTCAAATCTGCATTCAGACTCAAATGTCTGCATAAAACTTTAACTAACAAGCCTGGGTCCACAGAAAAGACAAGTACAGAGAACAGATGCAGAGACAAAAACAGCCAAAGGATATTCTTTCGAAACCGCTAGGTTTTCATTTTGGATGAGTAATAGAAGCTGCCCTCAGATGAGCTAATGTGCCAACACAACCACGAGAGCTAACACAGAAATATCAGGTTGTTTTTGGGCTCTAGCTAACACCAGCTAAGGTACATATTCTAGTTATAGCCACACTCTGACTTCTTAACATCATCCTTAACAACACGTTTTCAGAACAATACTTCTGTTTTGTAGTAGCAAAGAAAAATATGCTTACTTAATCACAAATATGAGCAAAACTGTCTCACTTTACCACCCAGTTCAAATACAACATCAGCGTTCCACATTGTTGGTCCTGTTGGTCTGTATATTTTCCTTTTCTGTATACTTTGCTGTGATTTTTACTTTTTACAGGACATGCATTGGGAGCTCAATTTGAAAACATTCATCTGAGCCAACCCGGTGTATATGTATCAAAAATCTAATTCAACCTTGACGGCATGGTCCAAACATTCACACATTTACAAATTAATATAAGGCACCTATTCAAGCACTCCTTATTTTTGCTGGTTCAAAAAATGTATTGTATCATGACAACACTGTATCATATCAAATTGAACTTGAAATTCGGTGTATCATTACACCCCTACTGTATAGTGATCTGAGTATTCAAATACTGGAGTACGCCAGTACCTGCACAGAGTGTAAATGTGACAACTGAGATAGAGTACACTACTTTTAAGTCTTTCTTCAACACACAGACCCACTGATAACAAGTGAAGCCGGATGAGCAAACAAACAGACATGGCAGGACAGACACACAGGCATGTGTCTAGATATGGAGACAGAAGAAGACACGGCACACATGTACACACACAGTCAGACAGGTGAATGGAAGCGGACCTTGGCCTTCTCTAGCTGTGCCTGAGCCTGTCTCTCAGCCTCTCTGCGCAGAGCCTCTTTATCCTCCTCCAGAGACACATCCGAGTCAGACGGTCGACTGGTGTATGAGTCTGCCGAACCCTATGAAGAGAGCAGATGGACAAACTTAACCAACATATCACATTCAGCATACTTCAAACAGTACAATGCACAACTGAATCTTTTACTCACAGGTTACTACAGCTACACAATATTCTACATTGTGATACTACACTGTCTTACAATTATGGTGTTAATGTTCTTTTTCTTCACAGGGGTTGCGAGGTGATACATGCTGTTAATTGAATACTGGTAAATTTTATACTATTATGACATAAATTCAATTTAAAACTCCATGAGGTAACCATAAAAGTAAAGAAAAAACATATGTGCTGCAGTTGAAACTACTTACACTTTCACCCTTTGTAAAAGGCTTATTATTCAGTAACTACATGGACTGCTGTGCAAATTTGCTGAGTTATTCTTAGGTTATAGAAGTGCGTAGTAAAACTTTGGATGCACCAGTGGGTCCTGTCCATTTACGAGATTAAATATCTATCTCAGTTTATTTTTCTTCTAAGAAAATGACTTGATTACTTGTTTGTGTTAATTACGTTTTTTACAAGGATTTCAGAGACACAGACTTCCAAGGGAAATATGTACACAAAGAAAGGAGAAAACATCAAACATACAAAAAAAACACACATACTACAATTAAGCATTTAGACTTTCATTGAGTTAAGAATTACAGGAGCTCTGTAAGCAACACAACAAGAACTAAAAGCTAAATCAGGAGCTTACCTGGCTAAGACTATGAAAGGTCCCTAGACTCTCTCAAATTCACACTGTGGTCCTATTCTATAGTATGTATCCTTTCTATTTGTAAAGCAGAAACTACTAACTACTGCTAACCACTAACCGTCTCTGAAAGCTGGGCAGGGAAGCAGATTTCCACTTTCTTAATATTAGGAGCTGCGGTCTGGTTTTGGTAAAAGAACTTTGGCTAAGACAATTAAAGCAAAATAAGTGTTGGCATTTCTTTTTCACTTCTGTATGAATTCATTGTATTGTGGTGCTAAAACCACAGCACATACCATATTGTGAAATTTGTATATTGTTACACTCCTACTCACAATACACATTCGGATGTAAAACTCTGAAGAGCCCCGGTCAAATTATATGTTTTTTTGATTGTCTAACTGAAAATAAGTTAACAATGTCTGCAGAGAACAAATGTAAAATTAGCCATAACTTTTGCACAAGCCACATTTTATTTTTTTTATTAATTTTTCAAATGTTAAATTCAGTAAATACACAGTAGTTGTGCATTACAGTGTGCAGAATTGTGTTTTCTGTAGAGAATGTGTTAACTTATTTTAAATTAGAAAATCAACAAAACATGTCACAAGCGCCCAAACTTTTGCACATGGCTGTAATAAAACACACTGGTGAATCTCTCAGGTTTGGCCAAACACTGAAAGTATGTACACTTGCTGGATCACGTAAACAACTGGATGCCTCAAAACACCCACAGAAAGTCTTCTGGAACATTCGAAATTGGTTCAGTTTTGCAAATGCAGAACTCTCACAATAATACCTGATAAATTATATGTTGTGTATATCCTTACAAGCTTCCCTGTAAGTGTTTCTGTAGTTTACAATAGTGCTCAATAGTGCTGAACGATAACATCATAGTGGTTAAAGACTCTGGCTCCTGACTTGCACCCTGAAGGGGCAGAGGTTCAAATATTATCATGGACTAGAGACAAGCATCAGCGGTGGCAGCAAGCGTGGACACAGTGTTTGAATGAGATGTGGCATGTGCGAATGAAGTGTGGTTGAGTTTATCCACGTTCTGCCAACTGTCACTGTGCCCTACAGCAAGGCACCAGGTGTGCTGAAGTGGCCGCTCTACTGCGTCCTTGTGGTCTGTCATGATGGCAAGATTGACAAGTCCGGATCCACTATTTAAGACATTTAACCCAGGGCTGCTCCATAGAGCTCAAGACTGTTAGACACTGACTCAGACTGTAATTACATCTATGCTATATCATAACAATTCATTTGTAACTAGTTATCGCAACATTGGCCTCAGTCTCGCAGGGCCAGACGTGTAAAACTGAGCGTGAAATTTCCAAGCCAAGTCCCCCAAAAACTCAAATTAATCATGTGTATGTGTGTCATGTGTGCGAAAAATAAACTTCATGCAGTAAAAATAAACAACAATAAAAACAGTTGCGTTAGCTACAGTTTTGGTACAGTTACCTTGTTTTGCTTGTGTTACCAATTGTATTTTGCACGTTAAAAGAGCATGGACCAGAGGACGTACCCTTGTTTTACGGCACCAAAAGTTTAGCGACTTGTCCTCACGTGTACTAATATCGCAAAAGGTTGACCTTAAAAAAATCAAATTTCCTACTGGGTGCGATGCGTATCCTGACTAATCTCAGATGTTCCACATGAATTTCTGTGGGTGTTTCAATGAATCAAGGCCTTCACATGATTCAACCAACGTAAATACTTGTGGTCAAATTAATGCAGGCTAGTCATTAATCATGTCCGATAGAAGGATTGTCAATGTCTATTTTTTTACATCTACACTTTGCAATCATGAAACAATATGGCACTTTCTCCATATGTTTATATCTGAGCTCTATAATAAATCCCTGATTTGTGCACACATGGAGAGAACAAAGGGATATTTTCAAACTACAAGAACAATGACAACATCTGCAATCACAAAGCATTGCAAGGACTTTTTATAGATTAGAACGTATGAAATAACAATGTAATTAGCAAAACAATCAAATGGCTTCACAAAATTAAAGTGACTGAGAGTCAACATGTGTGCTGAAATCATATGTTTTCAGTTTTAGTGTATATTTCACAAAACATTCCTTCATTCCTTCACAGAATACTCCAGTAAACTGTAGAATCTTGGCTTACTAGGCTGACTGCACTACCACTGAGGCATTAGAACTTCCCTTTGTTACGGTGAAATGGTATTTTTAAATCTGTAAATGCATATATATCCATGAATATATACCCACTCACACACAGAGGGTTATGTCAAAAGCTATAAATTCAGTAAACTGAAACTAAACCATGCAAGGATACTATGTTCACTACATGGATTCTCATTAAAATCTAGGCAGTCATATGTATGAGTCATTACAACATGTACCAAATAAACAGTAACAAAAATACACTTCTGGGTTCTGTTAAAAATAACATTTTATCGTTTAACTGCTTACCAGAAATCTGCCCTTTTTAATAAGTAACAAATTTGTTTTTGCTAACATTGTCATACCAGTCTGAATTAGATCATATGGAAAACTTTCTCAGACAATAAACAAGTTATGTTGTTGCTTTATATATCAATATTGTATCATTTCATTCTCTGGCCAGAGGTTTAGACCCCTACTACATCTTTCACCCACACATGCACACACATCAAGCTCCTTAGATATAAATAAACATTGCCAATCTAAATAGAGATCAAAGAAGGTATCTCAGCACACACAGTACTGACCAGTATATGCGCCTGGATCACATACCAAGAAACCAGCTCTTTGGAACTCTCTGATCTGTTTTCTCTGATCTGTTTTCTATCTATCTTTCTATCTATTTCAGTCCATTCGCCGAACATAAAATTAAATACGCACATAGTATGATATACTATCGTTCAGCTAGAGCCTACCACTCGGTTTTGTAAGAACTGTTACATCTATAGAAACACATTAGGCGTGTTTATTTTTGCACATCATTAATATCTGAACAAATCATGTGGTTGCTGTCTAATCGTCAACCATGGAATTATTAAGTCGTTAAGAGGTAAACAGTCATTCAGAGTATTTGCTGTGAAATGCTTCATTCTAGAGAAGTCAGAATTGTTCAATTTAGTGGTGATAGGAACTAGGCTGATTAATGCCTCTGAAACCTCAATTACTCATAATGGTTATGAATATGCTGCCCTATGCCTGAGAAATTGTTTTATAAATGTTTTGACATCCATTTAAAATCCATTTTTGGTGCAGAGGTACAGGCAGGGCATTGTACGGCAGAATAGTCCCCAAAGATTTTTCCTTCCTATTTTACCATTAATAACATTGCATATGAAACTGAGAACACATGTAGGTTCTCTGGTCATTTTGAATAGTAAATAAAATGGTTACAGTTGATACCTGATACCCACATTAAACCACTCTGAAAGACTTTGTTTACAAGACTTTGTTCACAATGTTGAAAAATCAGTGGAATTCTCCTTTAACTCTCATGCACTTCACACATCAGACTCAAATGTGACCTAAATGTTTCCTCACTGCCAGCAATGTGCTCAGTTTTCTCTCTTCCCTTGCCTCTTGCTGTCACATAAGCTGTTGTCATTTTAGCGTTTACACCACGGATGTCTTTCTATGCCCAGTAAAATATTATAGCAAGATTCATTGGCTTAAATTGCATTTACACAGTGCAGGTTCAGCTAAGGACACTCGGCAGTCACAGCCTAAACTAAGATATGAACGTTCCATAATTTACTTAGAAGCTCATTCATACTGCATGATATACACAAACACCCATCCACTCCAAACAATATATAGCCACACATTCACACAGTTTCATTTAACCCCTTAAGCCCTAAGGCTCTATACATGGGTCCACATTTTTAGTTCTTTGCTCTCATAACTACATAATTTACATATTTGTTTCATAATTCATGCTGAAAGTTTGTGCTAGTTTCTGAATAAAAAGTCTTAAGATTAAAAAAGGAAAAATAAGCCTGCAGTTTAAGGGGTTAGCAAACAGCATACTCTTGTAAAAGTAGGGTATGAAACCTCTTACTCCAATATCGTTCTTGACTCGACCCCCCTTTGCTCTTTTCAGCAGCCGTATCCAGGAGGCCTTCATCAGCCAGTAGGGTAAGAGCGTCCGCTCTCCTCACCATACCAACCACAAACGCAGCTGACCACTAATTACAATCATACAACAGGCACTACTAAATACTACCTAGTGCAAACTAACACTACAGCTACAACTAAAGTACTGGAAAACAATTAAACTAAACCTGAGAGCACATTAGCTTTTCATACTGGTGATACATATGCTACAACTAGTGTAAATACAGCAAAAAGTCTCTTCAATTTCCCTAAAGCCCTCAAAAAACAGCTAAAGTTAAGGTAATTAAAAAAAGTCTACAAATCTAAACATAACATAATCTCTATCATGCTTAAATGTCTGTTGAGCTACTTGTACTACTACCACTACTACTACGACCACTTACTAGAGTTAATGTCAGCACTGTACTTGCCCTCTAAGCTCCTTAGTGAGCTGCTACCTGATGTCCCTGCTATTGCTTGAGCTAATGCTAACAGGGCTAGCTGCACTGTGGCTGTTGCCGTGGGGACGGAGAGTTCCGATGTTTCCACGTGAGCGAGTGAGCGAGCTATCCCAGCGCATGCTGAACGAATGAGGGCTTTAGGGGCCAGTGCAGAGGCTCTGGTGGGCATTTTATCCTTCAATTAGCGATTCGGACCTCCAGCCCTACGGGTTAAGGCTGCCATCGCGTCTGGCTTTTGGTAAAGCAAAGTCAATGAGGCTGGAGTGCTGCTGCGGATGATGATGATGATGACGGCGCTGCTGCTGCTGTTTTCTGGCTGTGGCTCACAGGTGCTGCAGTGAGCTGCTTTCACTCGTTCTCTGCCTCCATTCTATCCATTTATCCTTTCTTTCACTCCTTTCCTCATTCGTCCAGCGCAGCTGCCTCTCAGGCTGATGCTCTAGTCATCTACGTTTTCTGTTCTGTGTTTTGCTTTTCTCTCTCCTCTCTCTCTTTCTCGATCACTTGTCCCTCTCTTCTGCTTTCTCTCCGCACCTTCGCTCTTACTCGGCCCCCCTCCCTTCTTCTCCCTCTCGCTCTTCCCTCCCCTCCCATCCTCCCTCTCTCTCTTCTGTCTCTTGCTCCCTCATTCTGTCTCTCTCTCTCCCTCTCTCTCTCTCTCTCTCTCTCTCTTTCGCTCTCTCTCTCTTCACAGCACCTCCATCTGCTCTTTCTCTGCTGTGATTAATGTCTGTGCATGTTTGCTTAGTTGTGTGTGTGTGTGTGTGTGCGCGCATGTGATTGTGTGTGAATCTCAGTGTGTGTGTGCATTTGTGTTTATTAGTTCAAATGTTTCTGTCTTTGGAACACTGCAGTCACATTAAACCCTGTGTAATATTAAAAATAAATACGTAAATAAAAAAGCGCGCACAAACACACACAAACTACAAGGTAGATACAAAAGCACACAGCAATACAGTGGCCCTGTCCTCATCACTCTAAAGTTCAGCAGTGTATACAGTGCATCTCTCTCTCTGGAGACTCTGTGAGCATGCTCAATCTGAGCCTGTTTTACACACACATCACATCACATCACAGAGCGAGCGAGTATAGGAGAGAGAGAGAGAGAGACAGAAATAGCTCACGATAAATCAGTGAAGGGAGACCATAAAGCTTTAAAAATTAACGCAAACCACCAAACCACAGTATCAAAGTACCTAAGACAATGTCTTATCTTACAATTATGAGTGAACACTTTGAATATTTGTATATTTACAGGTGATTATGGATGAGTGTTTTTCTTCAAAAAGGCACATCATATTCATAAATATATTAAGCAAGAACGCAAGTACTTGAGTCCTTGGTTAACTATTCAAGCTGCAATACTGCAATACTGAAATCACTATTCGAGAATGTGTTCCGTTTCATCACAGAAGAATATATGCAGAATAACCATTCAATGAAATGCAGCTGTTATGTTTTAACAGGACTGTAAAATGTTATGGTTTTGCTCATATTTGAGAGTAAATATGTACAGTACTTTTCAAAATCTTGGGCACCTAAGCACATGACTTAATTATTATTTATCTTGGCAGTAAGTGTGTTTCTGACCATATACGATTAGTACAGATGCAAATAAGTTTTTATTTTAAAAAAGTAGTTGATTATTTTGGCTGATCTGTGTTGTAATTTTATGATAATGATAATGTGAGATAATGTGAGACAGTAAGTGCTCTCATGCTATATTTGAATGCTGCAGCTACACCTAAACCAAACTTGGACACTACGTGCATAATTATGCATGATTCATTGTGCTAAATAGCCAGTGGCTTTTTGGTTTCAATTAAGCATTTTATCTGGTTCATGTTAAAATAGGTAAATAGGCAACTGATTCTTTCTTAAACTGATGTTTAAGAAATGCCAGGCCTATTAAAAAGAAAATAAATTTGGCAAATAGAAAGTACTGGAAATGTGCTAGTGTGATTATTTAGCCAACACAGCGTGAGTTTGGGTTTGAAACCCTGTAAAAATTCTGTAAAATATCATAATAGGTGCATCCCTAATAAATGCTGTTTGGTCAAGCAGGCTACTACTACTTTTTGGTACAGATATAGATTGGCTGTACTGCTTTCATTTATTGCATTAAATAACATCAAGGCTACCATTTGACTGAATGAGTTACATCTTAATGGTCCCCAGTCAGAAGCTCATAATTACACTAATTCTAAAATGACATACAATAATTGGGTGCATTTCACATTAATCACATAATGAGATGCCTTTGGTGGGAACGAAGGTCAAGCGAACATCAAATGCTTGGAGGATAGAAGCACAGTGTTTTTCTTATGCTATGTAAATGATACCTGAGGTTCTCTTTTTATACTAAGGCACTTCTGAGCTGTGTCTTTATGTAGAGGGTGAAACTACTTTGTCAAGAGCCTTGAATTATGCAACACTACTGAATCATGATGCTGCATAGTATAAAGAGGAAATCTGGGGCAAGCAGACTACAGATAGATGGATAAGTAGCGATAAAGAGAGTGTGAGTGCTGCATGTGTCGCTGTGAATTTGACAAATTCATTGGTAAACATGTTGCATTGGCTTAAAACAACAGTAGCAGTTATTTTTGTAGCTTGTCACCCAGTGTCAGAGACCACATAACCAAGTCTATTTGTTCATTAATGTGTTTGTGGACGCACGTCTTACACCTGTCAAAACACAAGCGCTTCCAGCCTGCTGCGTTTTTTATGCACAGAGGCTATTTTTTTCTACTTGCATGTATGAGTAAAAAAAAAAGAGATCCAAATCACACACTGCCACTTTATTTTGAAAAAATAATGTACTAAAATGTAATTATCTTGTTGGCCAAGTAGTTGCCAAGCAGTTCCTGTACTGTCCTACAACGTCTGGAGGCTTTTATCTGACATGAACAACGAAAAACAAAAACTTGTAATTGTGATTTCAATGCAAAAACATGTCTGTGCTGTCAAGTTTTAAAATTGTTATAAAACTGTTTTATTTATAAAAAGATGGAGAAAAAAGAGCATACTGAACGCAAGATTGCGCATACTTCACATACACTTATGTGAAGCTGATGTATTTGGAGTTATGTTGCTTGTCAACCATAGCCTACTGTTGGCATTGTTGCGATCATTATTAATAATACATTTAATTATTTACCAAAAATTGGTAAAAATGGCATTTTGCTACCATTCACTTAAAAGCAACAAGCCACCCGGGGCCAGGCATTACAGTAAAATCACTGTAACACACAACCTCAGCTTTTTGCTTTAATAAGTCTAAGGACGAATGCCGGCTGTCCTAGGATTTTATGATAATGGACACAATATGACAAATGCAAAAGGCATTGGGGCACTTTCATGTGTCAGCTCCCAAATTAAATTAACTTTGAATTCACCCGTTACACATACACATACATACAAATGACATAGAACAGCTGTGCCCATGGACAGCTTGGCACAAACTCTTAATCGAGTCCTCACAAAAAGCTGGTGCCCAGAACAGCCCAGCACACATACACACACAAACACACATACACACATTGATCCTTCCTGATGTGCTGGTTCCACCCAGCGGTTGTATTGTGGTTTGATCTATAGACCACCGTGCACTACAGATAACTAGAGATATTGACCCAATCACGCAGTGTGTCACTCTCTCACACACACACTCTCTCACACACCGGGCAATGTCAATGTCCCCTTCAGCACACACACAAGCACTAAAGTGATTTAGTGATTTTTTTCTATTGCATTATGGGAAATGTTTCAAGGTTAGCATTGATGGCGTGAATCATTCATCTCTCTCTTTTAGCTAGTGCTGGACAATCACCCTCTTCTGACACACACACAGACACAATGGAAAGCTATTGCAAAACATTACATAATAGCATTATAAATAAAAGCAAAACAAAAGCATTAAATAATAGTACAGCTGTCACCATTAATTATATTAGTAATCAAGTAATCTACCCATTATTTTGACATGTTATTGAGTAATCAGAGGTTTTTAAAAAGGCCAATTAAGAACAATGAACTGAACAATAATAAATCATGTACAGCCTTTCAAAGAAGATAAACTAGGAGCACTTTGTCGCTGTCGGAACAAAAACTTGTAACTCCATTTTTGTCGTTTTTCATTTTTTTTACATTGTTTGAAAACACCAGCTGCCTTTTACATAGTGTAAAAAAAATAATGATAAACAGAACAATAGAAATGGTCTTAAACTGACTGGAATAAAATGTTATGAATGTTTTTTTCCTCCTCTTGTAAAGTTACCATTTTGGAGATGTGAGATTTTGTTTTGACAGTGATGATTTAGAAAGATTCAGTAAAGATAACAAAAACACTATGTGGTAAAAACTGTATAAATAAGCGTGTTAATCAGGCTCTGTTTCACACTGTAAGAGGGACTAGTAAGGGACATAAAATATGCATTATTATCATGCCAAGTCCCAGTTAATTACTGCTGGTTCATTGAAAAGCTAAGCTTTAATTAATTACCTTTTCAACTAGACTTTAATCGAGAAATTATGACAACCCTAAATAATGTTCTGTGCTTATAATAGATCTGCTTACTTCATCATAATTCAGTCCCTGTGGTTAGACTGGGGATGTTAAAAAAATCAAGCATTCAAGCCTCAGGCAGAGTTTAGTTCCAACCCTAATCAAACAGCCCCCAAATAATCTGAGTCCTCTAAACACTTTGATTATGTGCATCAGGTGTTTTAGATTAGAACAGGACTAAACTCTTCAGGGGGGGAACCTCCAGGAGCTGGTAGGAAACGCTGGCATAAACCAATTAATATCTGCTTTGGATAGCCTTGGTGAAGCTAATAGCTGTATGCCAAAGTTGCAGCTGTTTTTAATCGCTCTTGAAGTCTTTTAACAATTTGTAGAAGTGTAATAACTCAGAAATACTTTGCTCATTATGTTTAAACAATAAATGTTTACATCCCCAGTATATACATATATATCGCTGTTGTTGGAACAAAATCTCATATCTCCAAAATGTTAACTTTACAGTAGAAGGAAAAACATACTTTACTTTTATTGTAAGTCAATGGAACCAGACATTTTTCCAAGTAATTTTGGGCTATTTCTTTTGATTCATTCATCATGAAATTTTGATACAGTGTAAAGGGCAACAGGCATGTTCAAATTATGTCAAAAACTGTAAAACAACAAAAATACGAGGTTTTGTTCACACTGCAGCGATATATAACTTTACATATCGCTGCTGTTGGAACAAAACCTCTTATCTCTAAAATGATAACTTTACAGGAAAAGGAAAAACCTACTTTACTTTTAATGTAAGTCAATGGATCAGACTTTTTTCCAAGTCATTTTTGGGCATTTCTTTTAGTCCATTGGCCATTTCTTTTAGTTCATCATGAAATTTACTTACAATGTAAAGGGCAACAGGTATTTTCAAATTTTGTCAAGAACTGAAAAACGACAAAAATGGAGATACAAGGTTTTCTTCCAACAACAGTGATATATACATGTATATGACTCTATCAAAAGGTGACCTTATTAAAGTCTT